TCTAGTTTCTCTCAGCATACTGCGTTGCATCCACTCAGGCTCGTGGTTGCTCATAATCAGAACCTTGCATGGGGCAGGCAGAGGTGCAGATCGAGTTACTCAGGGAGGGGGACAATCCCGTTTATTTGCGACACTGATCGTCAGAGTGCAGAGGCATCTGCAGAAGTTATTACAGAGGTTACTTTTAGTCTGCTCACATAATGCTTATGCCATAAATGGTCATCAGGTTCAACGTTTTCATATGTGACTCCATACGTTGCAATTAACCTCGGACTAGAACCTGAACAACTTAGTGATCCATTCTTAGTATCTACTCCAGTTGGCGAGTTAGTAAGAGTCACAAGAGTCTATAGAGGTCGTATTGTTTCAATCAAGGTCACAACACCGAGGCCGATCTCATAGAATTAGAAATGGTGGATTTCGGTGTGATCATGAGTATGATTGGTTGTCTTCCTGCTATGCCATGTTAGATTGCCGTTGCCAAAGATATATCAGGGTTCCAATTTCCAAATGAAAGAAATCTTAGAGTGCGAAGGGTAGATTCAGCATCGCTTGTAGGTAAGTTTATTTTTACATTAAGGCACGATCAGTAAGGGGTGTTCTCGCGCTTATTTGGCTTCAATCATCTAATCCAGAATCAGAAACCACCAGCTCTTCAAGTCTGTGGCCAATTGTTAGAGAATTTCCAAAAAATTTTCCAGATGGACCTTCTCCGGACTTCCTCCTGAAAAGAATCATAGACTTTGGCATTGATCTCATACCCAGGCCTCATCCCATATCTATACCTCTCTTATAGGTTGGCTCCAGCAGAACTTAATAAGAGTTGATAGAGAACAGTTTGAAAGACCTACTTGACTAAGGGCTTCATTCAGGCCGAGTGGTTTCACCGTGGTGGGTGCCCCGGTCTTGTTTGAAAGAAAGAAAGATGGTTTTCTCAGAATGTGCGTCGACTATCGGCAGTTGAATAAATTACCATTTAAGAACAAAGTACCCACTACCAAGAATTGATGATTTATTTGATCAACTTCAGGTGCAAAGTACTTTTTCAAAATAGACTTGAGGTCGGGGATACCATTTAACCTCCTGTTTATAGTATGACGCGCTTCATACTCATAAACAAGACTCTACTAACACGGCTTTATAGACCCCTAGGACTCCATAAACCAGAGGCTCTGATACCAAGTTTGTCATGACCCATTTTCTGAACAAGCCAGGACCGGCACTCGATCACTAAACATGACCAAACGAACCGTCTCTGCTTATCAAATCTATTATAACTCCAAACTTTATATGCAACAAGGCAATACTCTAACCAAATACTTTGATTAATTTAAATATATAAATAAATCAACTCCAAAACTTTATTTGTAGTAACTACTGAATTACTGCTAAGTTATTATCAAAATCATCTGAATCTTAACCCAACGACTATGTCTATGAAGCCTATACTGATAAACTGACGCACTGCTCAGGACATGAGATTTCCTGGCCAATTCTCTAAGTAAACAAAGAAATAACTAAATAAAGATGACTCTAAGGAATACTCCACGAACAAAAGCAGAGCTCACCAATAGCACTGGAAGGGAAGGAAGTCCTAACACGTAGCCTGCTCGCCTACAAAATCGGTTCCTACGTTGTACCGCAGACCAACGTAGGTTCTCAAAAGAGAACGTCAGTACCATCCATTGTACTCAGTGAGTCTCAACAACAGGGGGAAAAACTTTAATAACATATACATTACGAGAAAAGGTTCTAAATGCATGTAAAACATAAAGCTTATAAGAATGATTCTAAAATAATTGCATAATAGCAGTTTATGAATATTTTAAAAGAAATTCTTTTCTTTTTCTTTCTTATAAAAAAAATACTTCACTTTATACTTTGGGAGTTCCAACTATCCTGACTTAATTCTATCTCACTCACCGTGTGATCGGCACGGGTTCGATCCCAATCGGATCGAATAGGCCCAATCCACAAGGTGCCACTCGCTTCATGGTTCTCAGCGCTCATGTATCATACCTTAACATGGCTAAATAAATTCTCAGCAACGAGACCCTCGGCTCGTGTGCTCCCTACTTTGGCACAAGTAGTTTCAGGAAGTCAACGCCTTGGTCAGGACCCTCGGCCGGGACGATGACCCCTTCTCAGAATAAAGGATACTCCCAAAAATCTTTTCTTTCTAAAACTTCTTGTAACTTTTCAAGTCTAAATCTTTTATTTATAGAACATCATGTACATGCTCATGCTGGTATCCTCAAATGTAAAGCATGACATACGAATGAAATAAACATGTAAAAGTATTTCTAAAGATTCTTGCTTCTTCATAAATTTTCAACATGAAAATAGCATATAAGAATAACATAAAAATCTGAAAATTTATGTACATATATCATAATAAATCATCTAAACTTTTGCTAGAACAATTCTAAGTTAATAGATACTCACTCGCTCCAATTAATTAAATATAAACTCTTTTAAGCAATTCATCAAACACCTTGTATGCGTGCTTTTGTGAGTTAAACCACTTTAGTAAAGGGTTATATCAACTCACCTCAAAACTTCTCAAGCCAATACGTAGGCCCCAGTCCAATTGACACCAGTCAAACAATTGATTTTACAACAATCAGTGCATTTTAATCAATTTTAAAGTTTCACACCTAAACATGGAATTTACTGTTAATATAGAGGAAGAAGGGAATTAACTATTCAATTCTTACCTATTACCACGGTAGGATAATTAACAATAGGGAATTTTATATACCTGAGTTCAAGGATTAGTGGTTTGTAAAAAACCCTAGGATTTTATATATATTTTTTTTCTATAGGCAAGAAGAAAAAAAATTAATTCTATAGTTAACGTGTCTCGAAACTTTTATAAATTTGAGGAGTGTTGTGTAATACTTCATGTTCTATCCAAAATTTTGTTCTATCCAACTTTTCTTCTCCAAGAGAACAAAGAGGCAGAAACTCAGGCAATGAGTCTTAAGTTTGCACTACCACACACAAACTTCAGACAAAACAAAATAAGTCTGAAGTCTACACTATCGAACACAACCCTATAAATCTGAAGTTTGCACTATAACATACAAAACTTCAGGTAAAATACGTCTGAAGTTTGCACTATTGCACACAAACTTTAGATAAAACAAAATAAGTCTGAAGTTTGTACTATTGCATCTAAACTTCAGACAAAGTAAGTTTTTCCTAACTTATGGCTTATGCTTAAAAGCCACTTAGAATAAGCCCAACCAAATAGGAACAAAATTTGTCTGAAGTCGCAAAAGTTGGAAAACTCATTAACTGACGCAACATATATGAAAGAAGCCTGATTCACCTTTCGTTATATTAAATTGGGTACAATTTAATTTTTTTTTTCAAAAGTAGGTTCAGGTTAAATAGCTGGTTGCAAATAGAAATAGGGTATGGGGTGAAACTTCCACATCACGAGATCAATGCAGGGCCATTGTCAGCTTGTTTGGATGGTTGTTACGTATCGTTTCATAATGTATCGTATCGTACTGTATTGTATTGTATTGTACTGTATAGTTTGATAAATACAATGTTTGTATAGATTGTGCCGTTTGCCGTCGTTTCATGATATCACGCAAATTATGATACAAGGTAAAATTATTATATAAAAAGGTAGGGTAAATGATAAAATAAAATTATTGAATAATAATGAAGGGTAAGATTGAGAAAAAGACAAGGTAACGACGCGAACTCACCAAATTTGCCCATTTCGTCGTTATGTAACGACGGATTTAACGATACGATACAATAAAATTTAACTAACAATCAAAATAAAAATTATATTTAAAGAAACAATATCATACAATACAATGGTAACAACCATCCAAACAAGCTGTAAAAGTAACATACTATATTACAGTTTAGAGTTCGAAATTTCGAAACAGCTTCTCAAAGAAGGAAGAGATGGCGGGAAGTGATTCTTAGAAGCAATTCCTAACTCTAAATTCTAATCCGCGACTTTGCATCTGAAAAATCTGAAGGAGGTTTGTTTTGCTCCCTCATTTCCTCCAATAGAACTCGTGTTAAATTCTTCAATTGATAATTCAACGAATTTTGAAAACTGAAATTGATTTTGTAATCTAATATCTCGAAATTTTCAGAGCGAAGAATAATAAATCTGAAGAAATGAAGTCAAAAGCTTCAATTGGATCTTGAAATTGCAAATGCTGAGTTTGAAGAGGCAAAATATCAGAAGGAGTTTGCTGAGCAAGAGCTCAAAAGCTACGAGGTTGAATTAGCCAGGAATGAATTTGCTATTCAAGCCCTAGAGGTTTTCAATTTCACTCGTATTTGAATTCGCTGATATTTACTGGTTAACTTTTTAAGCTAATAAAAAACATATTTAATTAGCTGAATGTTGTATGGGTTCGAATTTGGTCAATCACGTCTCAATGGTAGCAGGACCAACCATTAGGTATCAACGTGTCGGTATAGGGGGAAGAGGCGACCCAGGAAGGAAAGGAGAGACGTCCTCGCGTCGTCGTCGGTTCCGTTATAAAATATACTTTTCCTTTTGTCGTTCCTGTAATGAGTAAAGGATCCTCCATTATCCAGGTCTTGTAATTGTGGGATCCTTTTAGAGAAACAAGAAATACAAATCCTCTCTCTTTTTCTCTCTATTCTTTATCTTTCTACTTATCTATCTCTTCTACTGTGGCAAGTCCATCCTCCTAAAAACTATGTTAGGGTTTATTATTTTCGACTACCATTTACCCCTTCATCTTTTTGATTGATTTGCTTAAAAATAGTTAACATCTTTTGAGTCAAACAATTTGGCGCCGTCTGTGGGGATTTCCATAGTCAAAATCATAGTTCTCATCTAGGATATCAAAAGCAACGATCACTATTCTTCATACCCCATAAGAACCAACAATGGCGGAAAAAGAAGCAAGGTTGAAAATGATAGCAGATGTCTCAAACAACCTCTTAGGCTCTCTCGACGAAGCCAATAAGGAAGATACCGAGAATATAACACCAAGCGGTACACCGGAGGGGGAAATCTCACCCTCTTCGCACGTGGATATGACAGTCTTGCGTGAGAGAGGAGTTTCCACGTCTACGGCGAAAGAAACACCACCAGCAATCAAAAAGCTGCTAGAGGAATGGTTGACGAGCGCCCTAAGCAACATGCTCGAGAAACCCCCTCAGGGAAATGCCGAAGATTCACCAACGGCGGAAATCGCAATCATCACAGGCGAGCCGGGCCCTACACGAACGAGCAACACCCGCACTGTCATCGACGCAGGTGGTGATGCACTCGCAACTATCCTAAAGAAAATGGAAGAAATGGAAAATGAGAACAAAGTGCTTCTTGATCAAATGAAAGAGCACCAGGAAAGGGTCGACAAAATACCTGGCGCCCCCAAGCTGCTACCAAAACGCGATGTGGGAAGGTTTGTCGAGCAACCGTACAGTGAGGAGGCTGCTCCTTACACCATCCCTAAAACCTTCAAAATGCCACCATACTTGAAAATATACGATGGGACCACGGATCCAAAAGATCATCTAATCCATTACGTCACCGCGGTAAAAGGCAATGACCTGTCAAAAGAACAAGTGCCATCCGTACTGATGAAAAAGTTCGGTGAGACTTTGACAGGAGGGGCATTAACATGGTATTCACAGTTACCAGCACGGTCGATATCGACGTTCGAGGAAATGACAGATAAATTTGCCACCGCTCATGCAGGAGCAAAGAAGGCTGAAGCTAGGTCAACGACATCTTCGCCATCGGGCAAACAGCGGACGAGGGACTCCGAGACTTCCTGGTCGATTGATGATATTCTGAACGTGAAAAGAACAAAGAGGCAGAAACTCGGTAATGACATGCTTCCTTCAGTTAACCTCTCAACTCTCTTTGTTCTATTACAATCACTTTGGCTAAGTAGAAACTGCATCTTTAAGACTTTAACTACATTTAGAATGTCTTTGCAATTGTCTTTCTTATTGTATCTATCACTTCTTATGCAGAGATGGCTTCATTGAGAAAATGCGTGAACTCAATGCACAGATAAGGTACTGTTTGTTGAAGTAAGTTATCGGTAGTTTTCACTTCTATTAACACGGATGTCATCTTATTTTAGTTTTTATGTGATTCCATTATGTGGCATATGATTTTTTCCCCTGCAAATATTAGGAGTTAATTTTTGTGTGTCCTTAATAAGCAGTAATGTTTTACTATTGAAATGGCAGTATGAAGTCTGGCTAATTAGGTACTACCAGTAGTTTTTTTTTTTAAAATTAAATTGCAGATAAGGTTTATAGCTCTTATACTGTAGTTTTTTCAAGGGGAGCCTTGGCGTAACCGGTAAAGTTGCTGTCATGTGATTAGGAGGTCACAGGTTCGAGCCGTGGAAACATCATCTTGCAGAAATGCAGGGTAAGGCTGCATATAATAGACCCTTGTGGTTCGGCCCTTCCCCGGACCCCGCGCATAGCGGGAGCTTAGTGCATCGGGCTGCCCTTTCATACTCTAGTTTTTTCCAACATAGGCCAGCTCAGTGCAGGCTCGGAGATAAAACAGTCTCTAGTCAATCCAGGCTGATGTTAGAAGAGCTAACTCTTACTTGGCTGCTGCTAATATTTTAGGATCTAATTCATTTATACATGCCATGGCCTAAGTAGTACAACGAACTTGGCATTGCTTTAATGGCTGAATCAGTTTGTAGTACTTGAAGTTTGAAGATGATCAATGTATATTGTTGTTTAGACATGCTTACAATCTTTGGGTATGTCATGATTACTAGCAAAACGTAATTATGCTTGGGGGGTGATCATAATTTGTGGCTTCTTTTTAAATGAGAAAGACGAACACTTTGGCCTTCTGAATTAGAATCTACAGTCATACAATGATTATGTGGTTTTTGTTTTGCATTTCAAGATTAATTTGGTGATATTGTATAGTAACAGAAACAAAGAATTTTTTATTAAGCTGCCAGTCCTCTAGCCTATATCATATTTCTTGTTCAGTTCTGGCTCAGAAGTATGCAAATAATATGAATTGAACGTGATCCAGCGGTGTTATCACTGGAACCAGTACATATTCCCTCCATTGGCACTCATGCACATTAGTTGTTCAACCGGCAAAGTGTAGACATGGAGATGCAGAGCAAATATTCTCCACTGTTGTGATAGTAATTTAAAACTCCGAGTTTCTAATTTGGCAGAAAACCTGTTAATTGATGCCAGTCTTGTTAGTATACTTCTTTTCTTGAGGGAACTGGATATCTCAAATTTAGTTATCAAAGTGACACATTAGCTCGAGCACAGAAGATTTAGTGGCCAGATATAAATATATCTGTTTTGCTCTAACTCCATAGCTTATTTCATTTGAATTTTGTGACTTCACCATGTTGAGATTTAGCTGACCTGCTATTAAATGGCTGAGCTTTCTTCTACTAAAGTGGAAGAAGGAAATTCCATGAGACAATAGTCTCCACATTCCAAAATGATAATTGCGGCGAGCCAGCATCAAAGCCTGGTGTGTTTAACGCACACAGATAAGCGCTCTTCTTTTTTCGATGTGTTGGTGAGTTTCTTCTATTATAAGGATGTTCAAATTTAAAGATTTCAAAAATTCTATTGTTGTTTTTCTATACGATAGCTTTTTCAAGGGGATCAAGAATTTTTATAGCTTCACTAGCAGGTTCTGCAAAAACCAAAGCAGAAGATGCTGAAGCTGTCAAAACTGACCTCCAGAATAAGCTGGCTCAGATAGTTCCAGATCACTAAGGAAGAAGAGGAATACCAAGTTGAACTGAATATTCATAGGCAGGCAACTTATTACGTTTTTGTTAAGCCTAACTGCTCTCATTTCCTTTTTTCTGTTGCTGTATTGTCTGGTTATTAGTATTAGGAGAACTTAACATGTTGAGCTGTGTGGAGTTTTTCAGCTTGAAGAGGAGTTGAGTGTTTCGGAGAGGAAAGCATCACTGATAGAGAGCATCACAAAAGAACATATGGAAATGCAGGAGTTAGCCAGATATCCTTAAATCGTTATTGTTTGGACTCCTTTACTCATAGCTAATTATTTACTAGTTCACCTCATTAGTGGAAGAGAATGAATTTGCAGTGGATCTCAAATTTTCATGAGACGTTCCACGTTTGCTGTTGCAGTCTAGTAATCTCCTATTGTATTACTGAGAAACTCTTTCAGACTTTCACACCTCAAAATGTCAAAATGACGCCTATGGAATGAGCACCCATGCTTTAGATTTGTCAACTTTTTTTGTGTCCTTGACTGGAAGCAAGCAGCCTTCTGAATCAGAAAACACATGTGCTTCCCTTAGTGATGAGCTACAGAGGTCGGTATCTCCCAGTTGTCATAGGGACAATGCAGAGGCATTAGGTGAAATTCTTCAAGCAGGTGATGAATATTAGCTTCTTGTAAGTAGTCCCTGACATTAAGCTGATGATAGTCAAAAGCAGGACCCTGAGGTGCTTACGTTTCTGCTCTTATGTCTTCCACTGGCTTGGCTAAGCTTTGTTCTACTATAGATAGGTCTAGCTTGCAAAATTGACACTCCTACTTTTCTACTCATTTCCCCAATACTTCCCAAAGAACAAATTTAATGAAAACTGTAAAATAAAACACTGTTACCATGAGGATAGTTGTATTTCTGCTCTTTCAGCAATCTTTTGCATTGGTAAAGAAGAAAGTTAAATGTACTTGCCTCTAATATCCTAATAAAATGGTTGTCACCGCACATGCTCTACCTCCCATTATTGTGGTATTATGGGGGTTTGAAAGTGAATCCACCAGAATGCTTTTTTGAAGGATTGGAAGCGATTGTCGTAAGAATATGAATTGTTTTGTTCAGCTGAATAGGAAGTCATCTATTGGATTTTCTGTTTGCACATATGTTGCTGATCCTTATATATCCCTCACAATCAATGATAAGACTGGAGATCTAGCATCTCATTTACCCTTGCCTTGTACCTGGCTACCTGCCAACATGTGCTCAACTTTAGGACTTTGTAAATTGACATTTAAAAAATCATCCATAATCAGCTAAAGAGCTAAGAAACTACAGTGAACAATGAGTCAGATACTTACAGCTTTACTAGGAATTGTGGAGGGGACTGATGGAGGAAATGAAACCAGACCTGAACGGGCACACTTTTGATCTTCAACATGTATAGAGAATAAAGCAGAGACGGGCCGATGGTCAGAGAACTTGCTTTCACTGCGGAAATAGGAAAGCTGTTTAACTCCCTTACCATACCATAGGATCCTATCGCACCTGCCATCAACAATCCAAATGTCACGACAGTAAGTATGAGCACATAATGACTAGCAATGCTCAGTACTTGGTCAGATTCCTATAGAGTCTTTCTTTTGTTTAATTTGTACCTTCAGTTTGGACTAAGGGATTAGACCTGAGGTTTTTCAATTTTCTGGGGATAGCAACGAGTGCCTTTTCCCGAGGGGTGGGAGTGTTTAACTGTCAAAAGTACTAGGCAAAAATGTCATGTAATGATGTACCATGCTGGAGTTCTTTGCTTCTCCCCAGCTCTGCTTGGAAGTCCACCAGAATAACGATTGCAATTGTAAGAAGAATATTTGTATGTTGGTGCAAATTCTATATTTCCCTCTTTCCAACCCTGAAACACTCCACCTTCTTCTAATTCCTTCCGCAACTGGTCAAACTCTTGCAGGGCACTCCAATTTTGCTGCTTTATAAATTCCCTTGCTAAGTTGTCTTCCAAGTATAATCTGTAGTTGAGATCTCCAAACCAAAATATCTGGCTGTTCTACAAGAAAATACATCTTGTCATCTTAGGAGAAAACATGTCATCCTTTTGTTATGCAGTGGAGTTTTAGTAATTATAAAAGATCTGCTTAGCCTCTCAGTTCTATATCTTTACTTTGAATCCAATTACTTTCTGGCTCTTTATTTTTATTGCTATGATCATTCTTGTAGTTTGATTCCGAAAGGAAATCCCTCTGCCTATGCTTTTATATTGAACATACTATGTTGAATCTATGTCACAATGGTGTTGACTAATACATTCATGTTAGGACAACTCTTGTAATTAGTTGTGTATGAGAAAGACTGACTTACTCATGTCCTAAGATGGTGAGTGGAAGATTTTTATGTCGGTCTTCAGGCAGCCGAGAGAAAGATGTTCTCCTAAAAATTTCCGAGACTTGATGGTTCCTTTTCCCTTCATCACCTTTCTTTTCTCCTGAAGCTAAGTGAGCTGCCACAAAACAAAAACTAGTTCCTCCTATGGACATGCTCACAGAGACTGATCCTTTGTTTCCCAAATAGCCCATAATGCCACAGGCTACTGAAGAGACTTTCACCTCCGAGACACGATATTTCTTTAGCAATGCCCTTCTCATCCACACACTAATGAAGACACCAACCATCTTCTTGCTCGCCATCAATTTGTACCTACCAACACGGTCTGAAAGCTCAATTTTGGTTCTAGTCTGACCTCTTGCTGTACTTGATATTTCGTAGTCACTCCTTAGTCTCCTATCCGATTCAGCAGCTCCATCATATTGATAATTATCATTCGTGACTGGAATTATCATGGGTGTCAACCAGGCACCTCCATACTTGCTATTTAGAGTTTTACCGATGAGCGAGTTCCAGTTAGTAGCTTCTGTTGGATCTTCTGCTCCGATTACTGTTTTAGTCTTTAGAGGTACTATTTCCTGAAAGCTGCTAGAGGAAAAGCTTTCTTAAATGACCAATTCTTTAGTGTGATGAGTAAAGAATGTTGTATTTTGAATTTTATACATACCCAAGAACGTAAATATCAGCTGGTTCTTTCAGATGGAGCCACTCAATCAAATCTAGAGCTAGACTTCCCACTGGAGATCTTCCTGCAACATTCCATGTACCAACAAAGATTCTACAGAGCAAATATCGAATTATTTCCCCAAAAATGTATTATCCTGTTAAGCTTTAAAGTCTATAACTTGATATACAAGCCGAAATGCTCACCTCAATTCATTGTTTCTAATGCATGGTTCCATGTCCAGTGACCTACCAAAAAAACCATCCATGCACTCATCATCTTGTTCGTCGTTATCTGTTGAAACCAGCCAAAAGAAATCTGAATACATAAAATGAATTAAACGAATAACGTCAAGGCAAGACTCGATCAAGATTACCAAGAAATGAAATAGACCTGAAATTTCGCTTAAATGGGATGCATCAGCTTTGCTTCGTCTTTTGATAAACCACAACCGAATTGCTTTTCGTCTTGATTTTCGTTGCCTGTTTCCCATGATTTGAAATAAAGTCCATTCCTCAAACTGAAAGAGATGACATCTCTTTCTTGTCAAGTTGGATAGCTGAAGAATATACACATGGCTGGCTTTTA